TTCGCCCCCCCCCCCCCCCCAATAGCTAGCGATCCAAAACAATCCAGTGGAGCCTGAGCAGTGGGTGTTGCCTTCTGACACACTTCCGATGATGTCAGGGGGTGTGGCATATGCAAATAAGTTATGCTAATGAGTTATACTAATGAGCTCCTGCATCTCTTTTTCTACGAAATGACCCCTGGTAGTGGTTAAGTGCGTGGACTCTAATCTGGGAGAACCGGGTTTGATTCCCCACTCCTCCACTTGCACCTGGCTGGATGGCCTTGGGCAAGCCATAGTTCTGATAAGAGCTGTTCTTGAAAAAAAGAGCAGTTTCTGTCAAGAACTCCCTCAGCCCCACCTACTTCACAGGGTGTCTGTTGTGGGGAGGGGGAGGGAAAGGAGTTTGTAAGCCTCTCTGAGACTCCCTTGGGTAGTGAAGGGCGGTGTATAAACCCAATCTCTTCTCTTCTCCTCTTCTACGGAAGGCTGGAGGTAGCATCAATAAATGCTGGCTGCTCGTGGATTTAAGAAGCAGGCCTTGAAGCAAAGTCTTGTCCTGAAGTGGTGGGTCAGAGAAAGGCAGCTTGTGATGCTTCTTCCCAGCCCTTGGGAGCATATTGGTGGGTTGGCAGTTATGCTTTTCCCTGGTATCCTAGAGAGTTCTCCAGAGAAAAGCACAGAGAGAAGGATTTTTCTTGTGTCTTAAGAAATCCCCCCCTCCCCGGTCTGGGGAAGAAAGGGAGCTGAAGTTGCTGGCTCCTCTTGCCACGCCGTTTGAGGGGAAAACAAAGAGTTTTCCCCTCAAATGGCGTGGCTCCGCCCCCAGCGTGCGACATCACTTCCGGGTGACGCGCATGCGGGGGTGGGGTTTCCCCCGGGCCCCGATTCCGGCGCGCCGGGAATCGGGGCTCCGAAACAGGGGATTCCCCGCCCCCCGGCTGCATTTGGCAGCCCTGTGGCCGAAAGAAGCCTCTCTGCCGGGGCAAGAGTCCAGAGAGGCACTAAGGGCAGAGGGCTGAGGGGTGTGCAAAGGAGACCCATTGGCACCCTTGCAAAAGCCGTGGCCCGCACCGGGCCTGCCTTTGCCCCATCCATTTCCTTTGGCTTGCGCATGCCCTCCTCAGACCTCCCATAGGAGGCCATGATTTGCAATTCCGGCTTTGTGGGAAGTTATGACTCCCTGTTTGCTGACCTGAATAAAATGGCAAACAGTTGCCAGGGGATAATCAGAAAGTAGGGGACGGCCTGAAAAAAAGAGGGAGCAGGAAGCCGGACCATTACCTAACCTCAAGCTTGTCTGAGCCACCCCCACAGTGCTCTGTGCAAAGCAGCGTGAGGCTCATCATTATGGATGTCCATTTCACCATCTGACAAAGTAATAAAAGGTAATAAATATGTTAGAACTATGATATGTCATTCCATTTCACCATCTGACAAAGTAATAAAAGGTAATAAATATGTTAGAACTATGATATGTAATTCCATTTCATCATCTGACACACAAAAGCTATTGGGGGGGGGAACGTGCAGATCTGTCCTCACAAAGGAGGGAGAGCTTGTGCCTGAATAAAACTTGGTCTTAAAGATGCCACTGGACTGTTTTGGGCCGGGGGGCTGGGGGCGGGGCTCTGCAACTTACCTGGCTGCTTCTTGCTCTGACTGAGGGCTGCTGGGAGCAGGGGGTGGGGCTTGTTGCATGTGCCCGCCCTCTGGGCTCTTTACTGCTGGAGCTCCGCTCCTGTGCGCTCCTGCAGGAAATGACCCCGATTAGCATTACCATTGGTAAAACAAATCAGTCTAATTTATCAATTGATTTGAAAATAGAGGAACTTTGCTTATAAAGACTCCACATGGTTTATTTGCATTGAGTATCAAATTAATAATTTTAGCTCACTGACCGTTGTGTTTTTCTGTTCTTCTTTTCACCGATGACGTTTCACCTCCAAAGAAGCCAAGACCTGGACAGTCTCATCCAAGTCAATGCCGTGAGCGACAACAGTCAAAAGGGGTAAGATTCAGAAGAGTCTTTCATGTCGTTTCTTCCAGCTGGCAGAGGAACGCAGAATCCCGGAGAAGACAGGAGCTTGCAATGCAGTCCTAAGTAGAGTTATGCCCTTCTAAAACCACTGGAGTCCGTTTAGGATTGCCCCTTTGGACAGCCAGAAGAAGTTCATTCCCAGGGTAATCAACTGGGAAGAAACACAGAGGCCGAGAGACATGTAATGATCGGGAACCCTGGTCCCGTTCAGACAACAGTTGTGGGCTCTTTTTGTAGAAAAAGTCCAGCAGGAACTCATTCTGCGGTTGGCCACACCCAACCACAGAAACTCATTAGCATATTAGGCCACACCCCTGACAGCACAGCTCATTAGCACATTAGGCCGAACCCCCATGTTACCAGAAGTGTGGTCATCCAGCCACACCCACCTTTTGCTTCTTATTCTGTTTACCTTGTTTGTTGTCAAAACCCAGGGCTTTTTTTGTAGCAGGAACTCCTTTGCATGTTAGGCCACACACCCCTAATGTAGCCAATCCTAATGAGTTCCTGCTGTTGGGCATGGCCTATTATGCTAATGAGTTCCTGCTGGGTGTGGCCAACTTGGGAGCCAGCCGGAACTCCGTCCCTGTGCGTTCCTGCCCAAAAATAGCCCTGGTTGTTCTTCCTTCTCCCCTCCCTTCTTGGAGCCTGTGTCATGGTGAGAGAAGGGATATAGACCCAGTCGGGTTGCCAGCCTCCACGGAGTAGCTGGAAATCTCCTTGGATCACAACTGATCTCCGTGGAGATAGATCAAGATGAGCAGCCATGTTAGTCCGTCCGTAGCAGCAGAAAAGAGCAAGAGTCCAGCAGTGCCTGAAAGACTACCGAAATTTGTGGCAGGGAATGAGCTTTCATGAGTACCTGAAGAAATGAACAGTGACTCACCAAAGTTCATATCCTGCCACAAATTTTGTAAGTCTTTAAGGTGCTACTGGACTCTTGCTCTTTTCTACTGATCCCCAGGTAGGGTTCCCAGCCTCCAGGTGGGGCCTGGAGATCTCCCGCTTTTACCACTGATCTCCAGCTGATAGAGATCAGCTCCCAGGCCCGTAGCTAACGTGGGGACCATGGGGCCCGCCCCCCACACTGTTTTTGTGGGCCCCTCCCCCAATCTTCAGCTCTCCCTCCCTCCCTCCCTTCGGCCCACTCACCCACTGATCGATCTGAGCCGGCATCTCCCTGTTTGAGCTCATCTGCGATGAGATGAGTCTCTTTAGGACCCAGTAGCAACCGGCGGTTTACGGTAAGTCCCACACACATTGGTCGGATTGCCGCAGTTCGCTCCTCCTGTTGGATTTTCTGCCCCAGGCTTCAGAAAAGATCGTCGGCTCAGGGAAGGAGTGAGGGGGGAAGCTTGATCCCCGCTCTCCTTTAAAAACAAAACAAAACACGGCAGCTTTGCTAGACCTCTGAGGAGCCTTAGTGTCTATTAACATTGGGATTCTGGCTCGCCTCAGAGGAAGGCTCTAGTGGGGGCTGTGTGGGTGCACGCCAAGGAGACCCCCCCCTTGCCCGTGAGCCTTTAATTTAATTAGCTGGCGCCCCCCAAGGCCCCCTCCCCCCCAAACCCCTAGCTACGGGGCTGTCAGCTCCCCTGGAGAAAATGGCTTGCTTTGAAGGGTGGACTCTGTGGCATCGTACCCTGCAGAAGCCCCTCCCCTTCTCAAACCCCGCCCTCTCCCACATCCACCCCAAAGTCTCCAGGTATTTTCCAACCCAGACCTGGCAACCCTATCTCCAGGCGATAGCAGTTAGTTCACCTGGAGAAAATAGCCACTTTGGAAGGTGGATTCTATGGCCTTACACTCCATTAAAGTCCCTCCCCTTCCCAAACGGTACCCTTCTCTGGTTCCATCTCCCAAATCTCCGGGTATTGCCCAACCTGGAGCTGGCAGGCCTAGGCCAAGAGTTGGGCTCACGGGCTTCCTCACCTACCAAACTTCCTCGAGAGGCCTAGAATGTTGCTACTTGTGCTAGGGAATCTCTCAAGTCTGTGATTTAACGCTCTTCCGAGACTGCATTGTGGAGCAGTCCAGTCTTAGTAGATGCGTTTGTTGTAGAAGGAAGGCGGGTTATTATGCAAGGCAAGTGGGACAAGCCAGCTTTGGATTTTAGAACTCCACCTGTCCCAGTCTGTGATGCTTTCCGTCTCATGCAAATCAGCTCTGACACTAGAAAAATAAAGCTGATCGGTTTTGATGCCTTCCCCTCCCCTGTCTCTCTATCTAAAACACAAGGTCAGGTGTACTCACTGTAACTTTCTCTTCCCCCCCCCCCCCCGCGCTTCCTGTTGAAGAGACTTGGATGATCACATCAAAGGGAAACCTGCATCTAACGGCTGCAACGAGGGGTAAGTCTAGGAGTATGTGTGTGCTACAAATTTAATCCCATTTTGAAGCCAGCATCACTTTATGTATTTAGAGTTTATACTCCTCCTTTTATGTAACAATTCTCCAGTACGGAAACTCAAAAATACAATTTAGACATCAATAAAACTGTCTGATTTGGTAGGAAAAGAACAAATACGGCAGCCAATGAAGGCGAATAAGCAAGTTAACCATAATAAAGCTTGTCTAGACAGCCATCTTCCCCTGTTGATGGGGTTTGTCTGCCCCACAAGGGTCCCCATCATTACTTAACAGGGTAGAGTAAATGATCTTTCAGCTTCTGGACAGGGTGTATCTGGCACCTTGACCCAGCATGCTATTGGCACAAGGCCGATAAGAACTAGCACTTGGAATCCTTTGAGCCTCAGAGGTAAGCAGTGTATAACATTAAAGCTTCCTTTCACCTTCGCACTCCCACCAAAGAAAAGACTCCTACCCCGTGTAATGTTATGGCAGCTCATGATGAAATCTACCTGATGGTAACTGTGACAGATGAGAACTCCCCCCCACCCCCCCGATGGCTTTATGTCTGATTTCAGACATTTCTGGTACATTTGATACCTTGTGCCAATTTGCCTTGGTGTTAGGTAAATAGAGTCGATCTCGTAGTCATTAATATGCTAGGGACACACTGACTTCTTCCCCCGTCTTTTCAATCTGAAAAAATAACAAGGTCAGGTGCACCGACTGTAACTGCTTTTGTTTCTGTTTCATCCTCTAAGGACCCTTGATGATCACATCAAAGTGAATTCTACATCTAATGGATATAACAAAGGGTGAGTCTATGTTACTTATCTAATCTAGTTTGGAAACCAGCATTACTTTCTTTGTTTAGAGAATTTACTAACCACCTTTCAATTTAAAAGTACTCAAGGCGGGGAACTCAAGGTTAGGGATAGGCATGAACCGATTGACGAACTAAAGGCTGAGTTCACACTGGCAGTTTGCCCCATTATAGGCATGTGTCAGAAACGTTTCACAAACGGATTAAAGGGCCGGTTCACACAGGCACAGCTGTCGGGTGTTCCCCGGCCGTACTCAACCCGTCTTGTAACGCTTCCCTCCCAAGTTTAAAAAATACCAGGTGAAAGTGGTAGCAAACCCTGGAGAGTGCGTTCATCCCACTTCCAGGAAGTGTGAACACCAAAAGCCGACATTTCTTATGCGCTTAAGCAGATTACCAAAAAGAAAGGCCTTACAGCCGTGCCTCCGTCAGGGGTGGGCCAACAGTGCGAACGCTCCCTTGCGCCTCCTCCCCGGTATGCTCCCGCATAAGTCGGTGCAGTGTGACTGAGAATACCCGGAACAAGTTGTTCTGGGTCTTTTTTGCCCATGACTCTCTCACGCTTCAAACTGCCAGTCTGTCCTTGGCCAAAGTTTGTCACGAATTTTGGCCGGTTCATGGTTTGCAAAGTGATGTCTGCAAACTGAAGAACTGCCATGAACTTCCATTAATTTTGATGCAGTTCATGGCAGTTCGTGATGCAGTTTGTGGCAAAGTGATGTTTGCAAACTGAAGAACTGCCATGAAGTTCCATTAATTTTGATGCAGTCTGTGGCAGTTCGTGAAGAGCAGAAAGCAGAGTCTTCATGAAAAGCAGTTGAGCTCAGCTGTTTGGTTTAAGCAGCTCAGAGCCATTTAAACCTCTGCTTTCTGTTCACCACGAAAAGCTGCAGGGAGCAGAAAGTAGGGGTTTAAACTTTAAATGGCTCACAAACCAATACAAAACGGTTCAGTTTGCAAACCAGCATATCAGTTCATGGTTCCATTCATGGTTCAGCCATGAACCAAACCACAAAAATGTGGTTCATGCCCATCCCTACTCAATATATAGAGGGAAAAAAGATTTTAAAAATCCAAAACCTGTAAGTTAATGATAGAAAGCTGTCTAAAGAAAGAAGTCTTCTAAGTATTAATAGAGGCAAGGTCTTGAACATCACAGATCTCACTTGGCAATTTCCACTGTAGTCCTATAAAGATTACAGTACAAGGCAATAATAGATTTCCTTATTAAACTCCATATCCCAGAGTTCCTTGGCTAGCAGCCAAAATAGTTTGCAAGATTCGAAACACGTTTAAATTCTAAGTAAACAAATTCAAAGACTGATGACAGAATTAAGAGGTAGTACAAGATTCTGTTTGCGGTTCCAGGTCGTATTCGGGATGGAGAGGCCGATGGTCCGGGGTTGGGGACGGCGAGTGGCCCGGGTCACGTATACCCAGGCCTCTCCCTCCGGCCACCCCGGTGCTTGGTGATTGGCCTGGGGAGGGAGGGGAGGCGCCTACTTTCCCGCCACTCACCCGGCCCCATCCCTTTCCGACCCGGCGACTGGCCAGCCTCTTCCTCCCCCGCCTGGCCCCGCAAATGGCGGGCCTCGCCTACCCGGGCCCTTTTTGCTTCTACATTGGTGTACATTTTTTTTAATGAGTAGAAGGAATAGAAAAAAACAGCTTTAGTTTCTCTCAGCAAATTGATGCATTTTTGTCTGGGATAAATGTGTTGTAAGGAGAGCTGCACAATGAAAGTGTTGTAAAAATTATTTGCTTCTCTGAACAAATTATTTTAACAGCTGATGTTAGATTTTGGAGGCTAACATGGGTCAGCAGCACCTTCAGCTTGAAACACTGGGTTTTTTTCTTCCTGTTGTTGTACTTATTCTTCTATGATAGGCATGGAAATGGATATGTAAGCATGTCTCAGTGTATGATTCTGGTGAATGGGGCAATGGACTGCAAACGCTTGTGCCACACCAAAACACATCTACCATAACTGGGTGATGCTTGCAAAGAATAATTCCAAGTCCACAGACTCACTCCTCAGAGGTCAAAAGAGTAAATTAAAAAGGTTGACATTGTTGAGCACATAAGAGCATAAGAGAAGCCATGTTGAATCAAGCCAATGGTCCGCCCAGTCCAACACTCCGTGTCACACAGTGGTCAAAACCCAGGTGCCATCAGGAGGCCCACCAGTGGAGCCAGAACTCCAGAAGCCCTCACACTGTTGCTCCCCAAGCACCAAGAATAAAGAGCATCACTTGCCCCAGACGTAGAGGAATTTCACATTACCCTTTTTAACCCGTTTTGAAGCCGTTTTTGATCCGTCATGGAGTAAACCGGTATAGGGCTGCCATTTCACACATGGCTTTCCCCTTCTGGTAAAGAGCTGGATCTGAAGCGGTTTGCCATTTCAGACCGCAGCGCTTCCCCCCCGCCATTTTTCGCTATAAAGCGAACGTTCAAAAAAAAAAGCCAGAGATTGCCCGCGCGGGCGAAAAACGGCGGGGAAAAGCACATCAGGACTGGGAGAGGAAACTGAAGACTACTTGGAAGCGGTTGACAGGTAAAACGCTTCAGCCCCGTTTCCTAAACGGGACAGAAGTGTTTGTGTGTGAAATTACAAATATATTCCGGTAGGGAACCGGTTCTAAAATGGTTCTGTCTGAAATGATAGACCAGAAGCCGTTTGGGAACCGTTCTTCTTCTGGATTATATCGTCTGAAATTCCTCTGAGTGTTCCTGTTCCTTCCAGTCCCTTGCAGCTAATAGCCACTGATGGATCTCTGCTCCGTATGTTTATTGAATCCCCTCTTGAAGCTGTCTATGCTTGTATCTGCCACCACTTCCTGCGGCAGTGAATTCCACATGTTAATTCCTCTTTCCGTGAAGAAGTACCTCCTTCTATCTGTTCTAAGCCTACTGCTCGTTAACTTCATTGAGTGCCCAGGAGTTCTTGTATTGTGAGAAAGGGGGAAAAGTACTTCTTTCTCTACTTTCTCTATCCTATGTATAATCTTGTAAACCTCTATCATGTCACCCCTCAATCCTCGTTTCTCCAAGCTAAAGAGCCCTAGCCTCTTTAAGCTTTCTCCTTAGGGAAAGTGTTCCATCCCCTTAATCATTTTAGTTGCCCTTTTCTGCACCTTTTCCAGTGCTAACTGTACACAGAATTCCAAATGAGGCCGAAACATAGATTTATACAGGGGCTTTATGATACTTGGTACTGGTTGAAATGCTGTTTTTTTCCATTCAACCTAAGACAGTTGGCTCATTCTTACATAGAACCAGAGGCTGAATGAGTTTTGGAACGTACTGGCAAACTAACTAGAAAAAACATTGCCTGAAATCCAGCTTCTTCCTTTCGCCAGTGCCCCACAAATCAACCTACGTAATACAAATGTGGAGCAGATCAGTGCAGATACTTGCCTGCAGGTCAGATTGTCCAACTGTGTTTCAAATGGATATCTGTTCCCTAGCCAGAAGGTCAGGGGTCAGTGAAAATGTAACTAATGTTCTACCTGTACACTTTTCTGCCTAGATTTTCTGTTTCTACAGAGGCACTAACGGAAGGCTGGCAAATTTGAAAAACCATATGTCTCGTGTACATATTCAGTTCCGACATTTAGAAGTCTGTTGTAGCTATTCATATGGCCAGTTTTATCTGTGTGCACTGCTCCCTGCGGGTACATTCATTCAGTGGAAGTCATTCTTGGACCACAGATACAGCCACCGCTTCTCCACAGCAGTTTCAGTAGTGCTGAATAAAGTTCGTCCACAGTTACAGAAATGTCTGTTGGGAAGTGCCGGCTGTATTCATGGAAATCCTGATTTATGCAAAACCTCCATACAAATCCATTCTTGGCCGTACTTTAGGAGCATGTCCCAGAGACAGAAACTGACCATGTGAACCAGCTCTTGGTGGAGTGTATATAGTATGTATAATCTATATAGATTCCTAATTCTAGATCACAATAGTAGGGCTTCATCAGAAGTTTCTTTTCCAGGGAGAATGACCTAATGGAAGAGCAGGCCCAAACCTCCAAACCATGCATAGTTTCCCACTTGCACACGAGCCAGGTTGCACCGTGGTTAGCACAGCAGGCTGTCCCAGACCTTGCAGTCCCGTCCTTAGATTGTGGGCTACAGATTGTGGGGTCAGGGAGACCCCACGTGCCGATAAATGAAGTATAGTCCGGCTTAAAAATTGCACACTTCAAAAATGAATGGGATAAGGAGGCGCCCTGCAAGCATGAGATTTATTTTGGGAGGGGTCCCTTCTACTGCCTCCATGTTTGTGGTTCTCTCAATAAAAGTCGTGTCCCACCAGACTTGTAATTATGTTCTTGGTACTGTACCCATACCAGTTCCTCTCAATTATGTGTTCCTCTAAGAAGAGAGAACCAGAAAAGGGGCCATTTGATGATGATCCTTGGGAAACAGTTCAAGTGGGAAACAAGGTTACACATGACACTAAGGAATGATCAAAACAATGTTTAGGCAGGGACTAGTAACGGGATTTTCCAGTTATAAGATGTTATCTAGAACCGTTCTGAAAGGCTGCGATATGCTAGTACAAAAGGGCTGGGCTCTCAACCGAGTTGCAGAGCCATCCGTGTGACTAGAGGGCTCACGTCTACCGGGGTGATGCATCGGGCATCAACTTCAGGAGTTCCCCAAAGCAGGTGAGAATTCATCACTTTTTTGCTACGGGTCATATACCCAGCAAATACATTATTTTATATTAGAGTATGGGATACAAAATGTACTTTATGTATATTATGTTTTATATATTATGGTCATATAATGAGTTTTAGACACTGTTGATCATATGTATATCCTGTCCTTCTATATATATTAAGCAAACTCCGGAGCACGACGGTAGACAGGAGGGCCTGGTGTGATGTGGTCCATGGGGTCGCAAAGAGTCGGACTTGACTGTGCGACTGAACAACAACAAGATTTATTAGGAGAATGTATATCTCACATTTTGACAGTTCACTAGTTTACTTTCTTCCTATGGGTAGGGACACACATGCACCCTGGTTCAAAATTCTCCCAGAATGTAACAACTGGCCAGAGACAGGAAAAGGTATGCATGTATAGAAGTAATTTTTCCATAGTTAAAGGGTATATCCCTGTCTCTAGAAGCAGAAATAGAGATTCTGAGCCACTGGAGTACCAAGTTAACTTGCTGTCTCAATAAATAGGGAACTGACATGAGGCTGTTTTCATAGCAACCCAGTATCTCACCCTATCAGTTACCTACATTGTGCTGTTGAGAAAGGCTAGTAGAGGCTACAAAAAAAAGAGGATGTAAGGAAATGCATTTCTAGGATAGAGGTCTGACCTGAGTAAAACCTTTACCAGGAGGTTTAAACAGTCCCCCCCCCCCGTCTCTCTCTCTGGGCAGAGAGCAGCCAGGAAGGGGGAAGTCAGTCCAATCACTTTCCAGCTTACTAATAGCTCTAGCAGAAGAGACAGTGGGTGGGTCAAGCTCCTCCCCCCTTCTCCAAGCAGGGAACAGAGATTTGGAGGATTTTAGACTTGAAAGGCTTCAGGAAGAATCTCCAGGAAAAGCTTATCTGACCCAGCCCAACCTGGTCAGTGGGTGGGGAAGAAGAACGTGATAAAACTCCTGGGAGCAAGGAGGGAGGTCTCTTTTGTTCTGAGTCCATCAGAGGAGACAGAACTCTTAACTGAGGTCTGGAGGAGGCAGCCATTAGCCATGTGCTGGCCTGGACAGCTGAAGGAAGCTGCAAGGTAAAGAGAACTCTGTAAAGATCTATAACAATCTGTGCTAAGGAGCCTACCCTGTATTCTAACATCTGACAGGGCATGTATAGAGAAAGGACAGAGGAACTGTTTTATCCATTTCTTTTAAATCCCCAGCTCTATCTGGTGCTGTGCTAAAAGGATGCTTGTGAACATTTTTTTAAATACATACTTTATAACTTTTTGATGCTGGTAGTTGTTCTCTGTACCACATAGACCTCCACTGTCTTGGACATGATATTTTAAAAAGGAGAGCCAGGGGAAGGCAGTCAGTGGGCAAGCGGCTATTCCTTCAGGGGTTCACAAGGAAGTAAACGGTCCCCATGTTGACCAGGCGCTGAGCAGTGAGAGACACAGAGGCAAGGCCTCAGAACTTGGAAGGGAAGCTGGGAGTCCTGACCCTCCCAACTGGCAATCCCTACAAAGGTCAGGTGGTGGCGGTGGGTTACCAGAGAGATGGAAAAGCCTCTCCAGGTGTTGGGAAAACCTTGGAGGGCAGGGTGGAACAGGGCCTGTTGCGCCACAGAGGACAAAAGGTGTACACAATCCTGAGGAACACACCATGTCCTATAACTACTGGGTTCCTCTGACGGTATCAAACATGTCAGAAGTCTTTGTTTTTTGTCACATTACTGAAATAGGAAAACAAATAATTTGTTCCTCTGACGGTATCAAACATGTCAGAAATCTTTGTTTTTTGTCACATTACTGAATCAGGAAAACAATTCAACAGTGTGAATATATTTAAATCTTGGAAGAATAAAATTTTGTTCCATAATTTATCAGATTCAGGTGGGTAGCCATATTGGTCTGAAGCAGCAGAACAAAGTTTGAGTCCAGTGGCACCTTGAAGACCAGCAAAACTTAATTATGGGTAGAAGCTTTCATGTGCATGCACACAAAAGCTTATACCCAGAATAATTTCTCAGGATAGTCATAGGGACTTAAAGTATAAATTATATCTGCAGAGTACTAATAACTTCAGAGTAGCTGACAAATACTCGATCCATTAAGTTCTACCTGTGTTTCATTCTTCAGTGTATGTACAGTCTGCTCTCTCGCTCTCTGGTTTAAGAATGGCTTAATGATGACAATTGTCTGATAATTGAAAATGGGGCACTAGGAAAAAGCTGACTCAAAATCAGCTTCTTAAAAAACACTGGGGGGGGGGGAGTGGACTCAAAGGAGCCAGAAAAAAACCTGGAGAAAAAACAATACAGAACAAAACAAGTGAAGTGAAAACGAAAGGCACAGAAATGCATGCGGAAATCAGGGGATAAACCAAAGCAGTATGGGGCTACAAGTGACAAAAAACATCACATGTGAAAAAGCCACCCCCCTCTCTTCCAAAGAAGGCGTACCGACCACCTTCCTGATGCTCTTCTTGTTTTCTTACAGAGGAAGAGATCTTGATGACTTCATTGATGCAAATAACACTGCATCACAAAACAAAAGGTAGTACCTCTAACTCTTGTTCTTATGCACCATGCAGACCTTCCTATGGGTAGATGTTACTTGTGCTTTTACACATTCCTTTGAGCAGAAAAGACGTGTCCCATCAGCGCAGTGACGGTCTACGGCGCATCTGAAGACGAAGCCCTCCCCGCTCACTTCCATGCAGCAGCCTTGCTTCTACCAAAACTGCACGCGCTGCCTCCTTCCTCCCCAGAAATAAAGGTGGCAGACAGGAAAGCTTGTGGACAGGGAAGTTTCCTGTGCGTGTCAAGGTTATCATGGGCCCTGGGGCAAGGGTTTTATCAGCCTCCTGGCGAGGGCTGGAGTTCTCCTGGAATCTACAACTGATCTCCAAACGACAGAGCTCAGTTACCCTAGCGTGTGATGCCATACTCTGGAGGGCAGAGTGTGGCATCCAGGCCCGTAGCCAGGTTTTTTTTAAATCCAGGGGGTCTTTAAATAAGTCAGGGGGCACCCCGCACATGCACAGCCCCAAGGGAGCGCCACAAATAAAATAAAACATTGGAAGTTGGGGGGCCTGGGCTGGATGGGAAGCCGGGGGGGGGTTCCCAGTAAGTCAGGGGGCCTAGCCCCGAGATGCCCCACTGTAGCTACGGGCCTGGCGCGCGCACGCGCGCGCACACACACACTGAGGACCTTCTCCAAGTTAAGCACACACCAGAGGACTATGAAGCCTCTTGCCCATCACTTTTTTTCACTCCAGGCCTCCTCCTGGCCTTAACCTTCCTTGCCGCAGGTCTCCAAGTCCTGCATCGCTATCACTTTTAGAACAGGATATAAGCAGCAGGCCTGAAAAAATACAAAGAGATGTTTTTATCTACCAGCTAGAAGCTTTGGGTTTTGTCAGGCATTGACCTGGATCACCCAGGCTAGCCTGATCTCGCCAGATCTCAGAAGCTAAGCGGGGTCCGCCCTGGTTAGTATTCGGATGGGTGACCCCCAAGGAATGCCAGGGGTGTGACGTGGAGGCAGGCAATGGCGAAACCACCTCTGAACCGTTTCTAGGGAATTTAGGAATTACTTTTGCAGAATGCCTCCGAGGGCCAAGCCAGACTCAACGGCAGTCAAAGGGCCCATGTCCTTTTAGAGGAAAACGTAACATTTCAAAACCCAAGTCTTAGGAGGAAAGGCTGAAAGAATTGGGTATGCTTAGCCTGGGAAAGAGAAGGACATGATTGCAGTCTTCAAGTAGTTGAAGGGTAGTCATGAAGAAGACGGATCTATTCTTTCTTGCTCCGGATTGCAAGACTAGATCTAATGGGTGGAAATGACAAGGGAGTCATTACCGGCTAAATATCAGGAGAAACTTC